GGTGTTCCTGCAAGGTCAAACGCATCCGGGCACGGAGCAGTTCGGACTGAGTTGACCCTTTGGCTCCCAGAGCAGATCGACCCACAGTCCTCCTCAGGTAGTCTGAGGAGATCAGAGAGGGATGAAGGTTAGAAGACGATCAACCTTAGTACCGCAACTTTTCAAAGAGACTTGTACTTTTCTCACCTGGTTCAAAAGCATGTGACGACGTGGGCAGAGACTGCAGTGACCTGCTGACATTGGATTTCATGTCATGGCTCAGCACCCGTGGTGATGAACCCATCCAGGCAGGCTCTTCCCAGCTTTTCTGTCCTGACTGTTCCATCTTGGTGGGGCTAGTGGGCGCACTCATAGCACGATCATACATCTGACAACAAGAAATTAGGCAGAGTGTTTTCATAGCAGCTCAATTACCACAGACAGCAAACACAATTTGTAGGTTGCAGAACTATAGAACTTACTCTTTTGACAGCTAGTGTAGCAATTCCAAGCATTGCTGCTCCTCCCACGCCCAACACTAGCTTCGCATTAGAAAGCATAAAATCAATGGCAGTGCCAATTCCTGTGTCGTCCTTCTTCCCTTTACGGTCCCCATTTACCCCGGCCATCCTGTCGCTGGAAAAGTTTATTATAAAACAAATGGATGAAGGAAAATTAAAGATGGTCAAAGTTTTCATGCTGACAATTAACTGTGCAGGTTAATTGCTACTAACATTCAAACATACGGTACTGTGTAACTTCAACACTGCTACCAACATTCAAACATACGGTACTGTGTAACTGATAACTCACCTAGGAGGTGGTCCTCCAGACAGTCTTTAGCCCACCTGAGGATGACCTGCGACCCTTCCCTCCCCCTACATAAGCCCACCCAGCCTGCTGCTCAGAAAAAACTGGCCCCTCTTCAGTGCTTCTTCTTTGTCTTCAGGTATCGTCAGGGCTTGGCAGCGGCGAAACTCACGAGCCACAGCCCGGCGATAGTAATTACGGTCAGTGTACTGAAGGTTACGCCCTGCACGGAGCAGCGCCTTGTACAGCCCCAGCACAGCACTGCGAGACCAGCCGCCCATTAGGGATGACACATAAAGAGGGGGGACACCCTGGCAACTGGGGACAGACAAACAGAGGATGGCTTTTTTTTCACCTTGAAAGATGACATTGGACATTTCTAAAAACAACAAATCAAAAATGCTTTTATACTGTCTGCTTACTATCATAGCTATACAAATACAAATACTGCTATAGTTTTCAGCAAGTTTGTTTGCCTTATACAGTGATTGGGTGAAGACAGTATTTTAAAAATCTGGACTAAATTAAAGCACAAAGTCAGATAATACATTTAGATTGTAATCTTCTGATTTAAAAATCAATGACGGATGATTGTATTGGTTAAGACATGTCAGCTAAGGTGGGGGTTTTGATGCCATCTCAATCTTTAGCTTATAGGGGGGACAGTTTACAATGACACACACTAGTAAAAAAAAAACACATTTATATTCATGATGAATTTAACAGATTAATTGATCTGTTTGACATTGTATTTAAATATGGTTTCTGCAAACAATGGCGACACAGCAGCTGCAATAACAACTGAAATGTTAGTAAAGTTAGATGTTCAATAGGAGTAAAAAATGGGAGACATTTTTAAAGTTCTGTATGCAGCATACACAATTTACTACATCCACAATTAGCGTTTTCATAAATAAAGGAAGGTCGGGTTACAGATGCCGAATAGCCGTCGCTCTAAACCCACGATTTCTATGACCTGGTCGAGACTACGGCAGCCTGGTGGAAGACAGAACAGCGAGCTAAACAGAACACCACAGTGCAAATGGAAAGTCACGCATTTCAACACTTGATAGCAGAACGCGTCCGAGAGCTAGCTGCAAGATTAGCCAGCGCTGACCTTACCTTCATGTGGTACATCTGATAAACACACGTTTATGAACAAGCGGAGAGAAGAGTGAGAACAAACACATGCTATATTAAAACTAAAAAGCACATACACGCACCTTACTGAAATGAGACTTCTGAATTTAGTCCTCAAATAGAAGCAGGGACCTGTCAAAGCCGGGGGTCACGTTCTACTGGCAATACGGAAAAGGAAATACAATTCCGTCCCGTTCTGTTTCCGGGTTGTTGTTTTTTTTGCCGACAAAAAACAAAATGACAAAATAAAAAAAAATAAAAAATTATGTTACTATCATTGTAAAATGTTAGTTTGAACGACTGATTATTCTGAATGTTCTTAGCTAAAAGTTACAAATAATTTTGTCCAATTATGTCATTTTTATGTTTTACAATGTAACTACCTTAAATTTAGTTTTTCTTAAAGGTAGCATGTCAATGTAGCATGACATCTGTTATAGAATTCTATAAAACGTGTCCTTTCACTCATTTTTGTAATAAATGACCAGTTCTCAGAAGAACTTAACACACTTACTCTTAACAAAGTATTACTTCCAAACAAATATGTACAATTTTTTGGTCTCTTGACAGCGTTGAGTCCAAACAAATATGTACCATTTTTTGGTCTCTTGACAGCGTTGAGTAAAAATGAATGCCCCTTGTTTGATAAGCATAACTTGAAATTTCAATAAATCAGGACCCAATGATTAGGTTTAAGGTATTTATTTGACAAATTGTGAAAAACACAAATATCTGCCTTTTTATAATGAATGATTCAACATGAAAATTGTTTGAGCAAGTATTTCATTTCTTACTTCTTACAAGAGTTTTGCATGTACATCATCAATGTTTAAAATTTAGGCATTTTGTTTTCACTCACAATATGGAATACACACATTTACCAACAAGAAAAAAGGCATTCATTTAACATAAGAAAATTGCAAACATCAAATATTCTGTGTATAACTTTTTTTCCAACCTAATATTTTATTAATCAGAAAACTTTTCCGTGATTATACCACATTCACCATGCACTCACACAAATCATAGTTTTATATTTCCAATATTTCCTTTTTCAGGATCCTTAGGTCTGGTACGATTATAAATAATTTTGTTTTTATTGTGGTATTAGATAAAGTCACATGTAATGATTAATTTGTTTTATTAAAAACAAACCTTAACAAAGATTACGTAAAAGTTTGAACTTTCAGTAAAACAGTATATTACATCTACAGTAATGACCTGAAAGAAACAACAGTCAAGGCATAAATTTCATTCCTTTCATCCTGGGTATGATAGGAATATCTCTTATGTCATCATGCTGGAGAAGCCAACACAGGTAACGCTCTGTTCCCATTCCCCATCCACTGGTGAGGAGAGGTTTCACTTGCCTCATGTTAATGTACCATTTGTAGGACTTCTCGGGCACTGTGTGGTGCCTCAGAGCTTCCTGTACCATTTCAGGGGTGGAATGGCGTTCACCCAGACCGACAGTCTCGCCCAGTCCTAACAGAAGGTCAGCTGCTTTAGCTTTGCACTGGCCTGTGCCGTCCACATATGCCTGGTAGAAGGGGACACCAAGATGATCCATCTCAGTCAGCCAAACAGCACCACCATATTTCTCTATCAGAACACGCTCCCCTTTTCGTGTTAGCTTTCTGCCAAACTGGGGCTGCCCGTCTTGGACCCACTCGACACAATCAACAGAAGGCATCATGGGAATGGCCTGGTCAAGGGGCACCCGTGGTAGTCCATGTTTTTGATTGAGCTTCTTCAGTATGTCTGTGACATGTGTCAGGGTTCCGGCACTGTTAATGATGACATGTGAGTGATTCTTTAACATGGACTTGGTAAGATGAATCAGATACCCCTCTGTTGTTGCGATGGCTTTGTCCATGTCACCTATTAGTTCACATTCCACATGATAGAACTGGTTTAAGTGTGTGGCATCTGGATCCTCCCCTCTAAAGCTGGGAGATATATAATAGGTCCCAGGCAGATTGTCTTGGAAACGAAGGAAGTACTCCAGAACAAATTGCATTGAGTCAGCCAGGTAGATGTCCTGGCCCATCAGGTTAATGGAAACTGGTTCTGAGTCAGATCCGAGGCCCATTGGTGAAGAGATTGTGTCAGTGGTCAGAGGGGTCAGAGCGTAGGCGTACTGACAGACACTGTGGAAATATTCCACAGTGCTGTGGAAAAGAGTGTTTTGAATTTGGAATAGGTTGCGATACCATTGACTCTGGATAGCCAGTGTGGAGTGGGAGTGAGGATTATTCCATGAATGGGAAGGCCTACATTTGGTGATTTTTGAGTGGATTGTTTGGAGGGAATCTTGATCAGCAGCTGGGCCATTTAATGATGACACATATCCAGGGTAGCTCTCAAAGAATTCTGGCTGCAGCTCAGTCGGCTTGTTGCCCTGAGGTGCTGGAACCAGAGGAATCAACTTGGCATGTGCGTAGTCAATCTCAAACCCCTCAAAGATCAGTGCCACACCTTTAGCTCTCATTCCCTCTTCCAGCAATCGGGCAACTTTATGAATTGCGAAAATCATTGCTTCGTAGTCAGCATTGTCCAGTTTGAAGAGGTTACTGGGCAGAGGTCTACGTGGAACTACAACAGTAAATCCAGGAGTGTTTGGAAATGGTGTAAGGAAGGCTACGTGTTCACTGTCTTCCCAGACCCTCCACTGTTTCTGTTCACCACGAACAATACGGCTGAACAGGTTATCGCTGCTTGGGTCTCCGAAAAACTCAAAGCTGGGAGGTGCATTTGGTGTGGGCAGTTTGTTTCTTATCTTGGCTTGAACCTCAGTCAGTGCTTGTTCATCCCACTGGAGGCCACTTTTTGAGTTACAAAAGCCAGGATCGTAAGCATGGAATTCTTCATCACCAGCGAGATGTGGCTGCCACTTTGCCTCTAGGCCATGAAGAGGGAGCAGTCTGATTTGTGCAGGATGATCAGAGGAGGGATTGAAAACCAAGGCACATCGTCGGACACCCAAACGCTCACAAAGTAAGTTTGACACCGTTTTAGCTCCTTGTAGCATAGCTACAAAATCAGGTTTTGGCATGTGAAAGATGCTGCTTGGCCCACTAAGTGCTTTCCTTGTCAGAATGGTGGACCCAGGAGTCCAGGGGTCAGGATTCAGGTAGGCAACAAGCTCATCGGTTTCCCAGATCACATTGGTGAAGTCTTTCAGGGGTCTGAGGACCTCGATGTGTGGAACACCTCCTATCACTGAGGCCACAAACATAACTCCAGCATTTGTTTCAATGACCGCATCACCTTTGGAGTCAACAGCAATGATACCAGCACAGAGCCCATCCAGATTTTCAGCTATCACCTCCCTACATGCCCGCCTTAGACTATAGCCTTTATGGTGGTACAGACTGGCTATTTTCTGGGCAACAGTATGCCTCAGGAAAACATCTCCATCTCCAGAGCAGGTGATGGCCAACTTGTCATCAGCATATATTCCTGCACCAACTACTGCTGTATCTCCCACTCGTCCTTTAAGCTTACCAACCAATCCACCAGTGGACGTTGCAGCAGCCAACCCTTGCCACTGATCCAAGGCCACAGCTCCGACTGTCTGTGGGTGGTTGTTTTTCGAGGCATTTGCACCACTGAGTCTGGCAGTTAACTCTCTGTGACGTATATCAGTGTAGAAGTAGTCAGCACCCACTGGTTTATGCTTTTCTTCACACTCTTGTAGAAACTCTTCAGCTCCATCTCCTACAATGAGTGAATGTGAGCTTTTCTCCATGACACATCTGGCTGCTCTGATTGGGTTTTTCACTCCTTGCACGCACGCTACAGACCCTGATCGACCAGCAGTGCCATCTACAATTGTTGCCTCCATTTCATTTTTGCCGTCTTTGTTGAACACTGAGCCTTTGCCTGCATTGAACAGGAAGCAGTCCTCTAGAGCTTCAACTGACCTTTGAACTGCATCCAAGCTCCTGCCGCCTCGCGAAAGGATTTGGGATCCTAAGGTTAAGGCTGTCTGTAGAGAGAACTCAAGAACACCAATGACACTGCTGTTTAACATCATATATTCTCCAGCCCCACCATGAATGACTATAGTATAGTCTTGGCTCATGCCTGAGTTGGAATCACCGGTGTATTTTTCTATCTTAGGCCTCTCTGGACACAGATGTGTCTCACCATTCACTCTCTTTGTTTCACCGTCCTGTAAGAGACACTCCAGACCTCCCATCTGATTTGCAATGGCATATCTCACAGCAAGGAGCATCACAAGCTTCATATTTATCTCCATATGTTCCTGAAGCTTCTTCAGTACTAGACCAAAGCTCCCTTTCCCATTCAGCACAATCTGAACCTTGTCTCTTCTTCCCAAATAGGCCACAGCAAGTTGGTCTTTGGCGTAAAGATTGCCGACTCCACACTCGATTCCCTCCATCAGATCTGAACCTGTCAGGTAAACTGATGGACACCCGAAGGGCGCCAGAAATTTCTTCAGCGGATTATCAGATGGTAAAATGTGACGCAGGGCAGCCAGATGAGGACCAACACCTTGGCCACTCTTCGTGCTTTTGATCAGACTCTTATGCTCCAGAAATGCTTCGTGGAACAAGCGCAGAATATCAGTTGTGTATTTCATAGTTTGATCTGGGCCTATGCCAGATGCCAAGGCTCCCACCAACCTTTGAGAATTCATGGTAATTGAGTATGTGGGGTCACATCGACCATGCTTGTAGTGGCGCATATGAGTAGGTGTGACGAGCATGTGTCTGGCAGCCGATTCCCCGAGAATTTGCCGAAGGGAAAGTTGCAAAGCAAAGTTGATCCAGGCGTCGTACAAACCTCTGTGTGCTCTGATGGCAGAAAAAACATCTGGATAGGACGACAACTCAAATATGAGAACTGGAGGGGTTGCTTTTAAATTAGCCTTCGGTTTTGGAACATTAATGCCTTGCAACGGAAATGCTAGAGAAGTTGGACAGACAGAATTAACGTTGTTTAATGCGACAGAGCCGTTCATGTTTTCAGCTTCAGGCTGGTCAAGTTTGAGGTCAGCAGTTTCGGACAGATTGTACACCTGCCCTGTAATAAGCACAGCGACCATTCCATCCAACACACTGTGCTCAAAAACCATTCCAGCTGTGCTGTCTTTGAACACCACCACGTTCATAACCTGGTGGCAGAAGGAAACAAAGATTTAGTTTGGGAGTTCAAATTAATGCAGTATAATAAATAGTACAACTGACAGTGTACTATATATATATATGAACACAAATGTGATCATTACATTGATGTAAACACCATAGCTTTGTGTGTGTGTTTGTGTGTGTGCCAGTACCTTGTCGTAATATCTCAGGCATGGACCTCCTCCTTCACCTCCCAGCCTGACTGAATTGAGGACATCACCCACATCAGGAGGAGCATCCTGATCTTCCAGGCACAGTGTTAGCACGGCGCTTTCCATCACTCCCAGAGATTCCACCGCTTTCCCTCCCTGCACCAGGATTTCCTCTCGAATGGCAGCCCAAGTTTTGCGCTGCAGAGCTGAGAGGCTACAAATAACAGAGGAATCGTCTCCTGCGCTGGATTTATTCATCACCTGCACCAGTTGGTTGTAGATGTCAACCAATGGAACAGCAGTAACTGGACCACCGTTGTCTGGACGCCGCAGTATATCAACAGGAAATATTCCTCCAACACTGCTGACAATGGCGTGCAGGCTGTCTGGGTAGACCTGAAAAGTACAAAAACATGGATCGTATATTCTTAAAATTCCTGATTCAAAGAGTTCAGAATTCCCTCCATCCTCATTGTGCTTGTATCTTACCTTGATTTGATCTTGAGTTCTGCCCGGGAGACGACTAGCAGCAAATACTTCAGACTGCTGTGTGCGCTCCATGGGCGCATCTCCCTCCACTAAAACAGGCTCACTGTAAAGCTTCGCAGCTGCCCAAAGTAGAGCGGCTGCCCGTTCTAACTGACCGCATTTCTTCCCTTTGGATGGAGGAAGAACTATGGGAAGAGCTGTAGAAGACGGCAGCGGGTCGTCACAGGAAAGCAGACTTTTCTTGAACTGCTCCGTCACCCAGTTTTCTTGGCCGTTGAATCTGGTGGTTAAACTCTGCTGTGCCTCCGTGAGGAGCTCTCTCTGCTGGGCCAGCACAGTTTTGAACTCTGGGTAATAGTCAGGACCCAAGGTGAGCTGGAGGACACGGCTTACTTCTTGAAATGTAACATCCAAGTCTGGAACAGGGTAGTTGAGAAGGTTCATCATGCCGCTGTAGTGATGGCCTGAAAAACAAAGGAAATCCACTGGTTATGTTTGGCTTCATTCAGCTTCATTACCTGTACCTGTAGTTTGCCATCTTGTCTCATTTGGTGCAGTCACGACTAACAGCCTCGATCAATTTGAATCAACACGGTCACGACTATTGTTTGACTTTTTCGAACAGCCTCGATCAATTTGAATCAACACTGAGGACCAACTACAAGGCTGATGTTATTGCACATCAAGGCCAGAAGTGGGCAGAGCTAAATATTATAATCCATATACCGTACAACATTAGTCGACTCAGTTTGCATTTGCTTCACATGATGTCCAACCTTGCTCACATTAGTGGAAGCAGTTAGTCAATTATCTGAATTATGTTGGCAGAGGAGCAGCTGAGACCAACATTGGTCTCTTTGTGTATTTATGTGGTGAATGTGTGGGCATCCTTCTGTCTAATAGTGGATAAGTAAGGCCGACCGCTCACACGTGAAAGCAGTTACCACACAACACTACAGTCCTGGTTGTCATTCCTGTTTCACTGTGAGACTGTTGACAAAAAAAACAAACAACAAAAAAAAAAAAACGTCTAATTCAAGATATTCACCCAAAGGTTTAAGTTGTGATTTCATGATCTCTGAAGCCTTTGTGATACCATTACAGTTACTGTCACATACAGTAATACACGTTTAATTAATCGCATTTTTAAAAGAGAAAAGGACAAAAGAAGGAACGAATGAACAAACTAAAAAAAGAAAGAAAGAAAAGGCTAAAAACTAAAGTTCNNNAGAATAAAAATGCTAAAAACTAAATTTCAGCAGTAAAGCATTTAAGTCATTTTGATCAAATCAGGTTAAAAAAACAGTTTCGACATGTTTCCTCTCCTTGTTTAACTCTCTTTAACCCTAAACCACACAGATATGTGTTAGAATCATTTAAAAGACTAAAATTTAATTTAATAAATGAATTTTTTTTACAAATATGAACCTTAATGAATACAAACATAAGTTTGAAAAATGGAAAAGAGAACAGTTTTTACACACATTTTTTAGTAAATTCCGTGTATAATTACAAGATTTTAACCAGTTTTTATTTTTTGTTTGTGTACAAAACGTTATTAACTGAACTCCGAGTGTGTTTGAGGACCACACAGGAAGTCACACTGGAGGACTTGATTAAATGACTGATTAATTCCACACAACTAAAAATGGAATTTAAACTAAGGTAAGTTAAGTTCGAAGAGCAACAGACAGCTCACCTTAGAAGAACTTCTTGTTTTCCACAGTCTCGCCCGTCACTAGAGGAGATGTCCAGTCGCTGGTTGAAAAACTTGGTCTGACTACAAAAATCAGACTATCCCTAACGCAGCGGTGATGACTCCAATTAAGCAATTCCATTTCAGACCTTCCTCCTTCCTTCCCTCCCACCATTTATCTTTACCTCTCTCTCTTTGCCCCTCCCTCTCATCTCTCTCTCTTACTATTTGTTTATTATCCTCTCAGACAAATGTGTGGTCCGGTGTCCTGGCACTGCGACTGTGGCGACTGTTAGATCATTTTTAACAACAACATGTCATTGTTTGGTTTAGTATCATTGAGATATGGGCTCAGTGAGAGAGCTCATAAGAAAAGCATTGTTCAAAACCTGCTGGTGTGACTGTGGCCATTAGATCATTTTTAATAATCTTTTGTTCATTTATTGATGGAAATAAAGTTCCATTGTAGGTGACTTGTAGTTGGATATGTCTGTGAGACATATCCAACTACAAGTCTACAAGCCAAACAACATGTCATTGTTTGGTTTAGTATTTTGGTTTAGTATCATGAACAATCTTTTGTTCATTTACATTGATGGCAATAAAGTTCCATTGTAGGTGACTTGTAGTTGGACATGTCTGTGAGAGGACTGCAGTCTTTCATTTGGCTGTCTCTGACTCCAGGGCTGAACACAAAGCAATTATTCACTGATTAACTTAGTCATTTAATACAACTAAATTGACAATAAATAATTAAAATGGTCTCTTTTGAGGTGTGCAGCACTATTTGCATTTCTGCCTCATTTTTTAGTAAAAAAGTAATAATAACAATAGTTCTTACAACAGTGAGAGTTGTATTTATTTATTTGCATGACCCATAATGTTTAACCTGCTATTAAACTATAACAAAAAATTTCAAACCAGATATGGTGGACCTAACATTTTTATACGTTTTTTATTTATTTTTTTAACTTTGGATAAGATGTTAAAGGTTTAAAAATGCCTTTTAAAACTTTTTTTAAATAAAACTGTATAAACGACACAGCCACGTGACACATAGTGTACTTTGAACTGTTCCATCTACTTCTACACTTTCACTAGTATCTTCTCAGTTGTGTGGAACGTATCAAAGCTCACTGGTGCCCCCTAGCATCCGGAGATATTATTTCCCCTTCGGTCGTGGACATGGCGGCTCAGGTCCGTGCTCTGGTTTCCGGTCAGTGGCTTGCAGATGCGGTCAGAAGTAATCTGGTCGGCCCCAAACTTCGCATCCTGGACACTTCGTGGTACTTACCGAAGTTGAACCGCAATGCAAAGGCGGAGTTTGCGCAGAAACACGTCCCGGGCTCGTTGTTTTTCGACATAGACGAGTGTTCTGATAGGAACTCTGCCTATGACCATATGTTGCCAACTCCCAGCCACTTCTCCCAGTATGTGGGAGATCTGGGAATCGGGAATGACCCCCATGTCGTTGTGTACGACACCAGCGACTTCGGCTCGTACAGTGCGCCACGGGTGTGGTGGATGTTCCGGCTGTTCGGACACAACTTGGTGTCGGTGCTGGACGGAGGTCTGAAGAACTGGGTGGTTGACGGTCATACGCTGACGTCTGAGATCCAAACACCGGAGCGTAGAGAATTCAAGGCTACAATGAATCCATCCTGGGTGAAAAGTTATGAAGATGTGCTGGAGAACATCAGGACCAAGAAGGTCCAGGTGGTGGACGCCCGGTCAGCGGGCAGGTTCAGGGGGGTTGAGCCTGAGCCCAGAGACGGTGGGAGTTGTTGTTATGTTTTCTAAACCAGATACAGAATTAGTATAAGTTACTGTAATTGTAAATTTTAACTATTTTTTAAAAAAAATCTAACTAATAATTTTTAACTGTTAAATGTTTATACATCAAGCCCAGAGTCAGTGTTTTTTTAAAGAAACATACATATTCTGCAAAATAAAAACAAATATATAATATGCGTAAAAATGTTTCGGGTATAATTTCACAATTAACAGAACGGGACCATTCACAGGAACCAAATCGACTGCAGCATCTACGGTCTCCCCTTCATTTAGTTTTCTTCTTCTTTTTTTAAAATCTTTTAACGTCTTTTATAAATCCATTTATAGCGTTAGTGTCTATTTGTAAACTAGCCAATGTGGGGTTTTTTGTTTAACTATAACGTATGTACCAAAATTACTTAAGTGTATATAAATATTTAATTTTTATTAAATATTTTTAATTAAATATTTAACAGCTCTATAGGACGCTAATGTTTATCAAATATCTTCTATGCTAAGCTAATTTGTTAGCCTCCGGGTTGGACTTTTTTTATGCTTTGAGATACATTACTGCCACCTGCTGGGTTTTATTTTTCATTGTGTATTTATCGTATTTCCACCAGAAACTACATATAGAGGTAAAAGTTCTTTTTTTATTATTATTGTCTGCATTATTTTTACATTTAAAGTCCATTTTTTTAGGGTCTGCATTATTTTTACATTTAAAGTCCTATGAGAGTTTTTACTTATTAATTATCTTTGGCATGGATTTCCTGATTGGTTCATCGTTTAAGGCCTACCTTCAGATCATTCATGGACAATACGATCAAAGTTGTCTGTCGTGTTTCTGACCAGCTCAGAGAAGTCCTGTTTGTTATGCTGCCCTAACGTTTTCTACTCATTTTCTCAGACACACTGCCGGGTCACTTCAGCGGTGCCATCAACATGCCTTTCACTACATTCATGGACGCCTCTGGAAAGGAGCTACCGACGGGGGAATTGTCTAAGCTGTTCAAAGAGGCAGCAGTGGACCTGGAGAAACCACTGTGGGTCACGTGTGGTTCTGGTGTCACAGCGTGCCACGTGGTCCTGGCTGCATATCTACTGGGCTATCCTGGAGTCAGTGTTTACGACGGCTCATGGTCCGAGTGGTTTAAGAGGGCAAGACCAGAAGACATAATTTCAGAGGGGGTGAGAACGAAGGTGTGAGCAAGAGGGAGAAGGGTTGACTGGTATAAATAATCAGAATTTGATGGTACTCATGAAAGGGAAAGGTATTTACTTACTGGCGCAAAATTGAGTAGCGTCAAGTTAGTAAGGAAAATATTAACTTTGCAAATATTTACTAATGTAACTATATGAACTTTAACATGTGCTGTACTATAAACATATTGACAGAAGATATGTTGAGCCATAATTTTAATAAAACAATTCACTGATTATTGAAAAATTGTACATTGTAAAGCATTTATATTGTATTCTGTCATTTCTTTCACAATAAATTGATTCCTGCAGACTTTGGTCACTTTGTTATTTTTTTTTTAGTACAGCCAGTAATCATTGATGACAGTAAATATTTGACTGACAGAAAGAGGTGAAGGTAAACATGGCAACTATCTACAAATAAAAAAGAAAGATTATTGGTCCTTTTCTTTTGAGTGAACTTACAGTTTAAACAATTATAGACACTACTATAGAGAATAACTTCGAATATGTATAAATGTGCAAAGTATTTTTTTCCTAAAAGGTCACACTATAATTACCATGTTGATAAATGTTTAAAAACAAACGCACATGTGGGCTGGACATTAACAGTTAAATATGCTATCACTGCGTTTCCTATGTCCTGTAAGGAAATCAAGTCATGGCGGCGGCTCAGGTCCGTGCTCTGGTTTCCACTCAGTGGCTCTCAAACGCGGTCAAGTGCAACCTCGTCGGCCCCAACCTCCGCGTCCTGGACACTTCGTGGTATTTACCGGCCTGGAAGCGCAATGCAAAGGCGGAGTTTGCACGGGAACACATTCCAGGCTCGCATTACTTTGACTTGGACGAGTGCTCCGACAAAACATCCGTTTACGAGCACATGTTGCCAACTCCCAGCCACTTCTCCCAGTATGTGGGAGATCTGGGAATCGGGAATGACACCCATGTCGTTGTCTACGACACCAGCGACTTCGGCTCATACATTGCGCCACGGGTGTGGTGGATGTTCCGGCTGTTTGGACACAGTACGGTGTCAGTGTTGAACGGAGGCCTGAAGAACTGGTTGGCCGAGTGCCGTCCAGTGACGTCTGAGATCCAAACACCGGAGCGTAGAGAATTCAAGGCTACAATGAATCCGTCCTGGGTGAAAAGTTATGAAGATGTGCTGGAGAACATCAGGACCAAGAAGGCCCAAGTGGTGGACACCAGGTTTAATGGGATGTTTCGGGGCACTGAGCCCGAGATCAGGGAAGGTAAATGACCATACCCCCTAAAAGTGTAGCACTCTTATTAAAGGGATAGTTTACTGCTTTCTTTTTTTTACGATATAAATTTGGTTGAATGTTTTATAGCATCTAGTAGAAACACTAAGTGTATTTTTGTTGAAGAGTTCTGTTAGGCAATTGGACAAAGTTTCTCATCCAAGAGGCTTCTTCAGTTCTAACTGGTGGTGGGGAGTACAGCAGATTTATACTCTGGGTGTGAAAGAACAAAGCTTCTTAAGGTCCACCGTGTTGAGTGGGGCCTTGGGGTCAACTGTGAAAGTGTAAGCAGTCGGAAGGGAAATCAACCACTAAACAGGCGCATGGCCCAACACAGGAGGGCCATCTCCTCAGGACAGGACTCAGCTGTTCACATACACCTCAAGCACAAAACACACTCCTTTGTGGACAACAATGTCCACATTTTGGCCAGGGAAGACAGATGGTTTGAGAAAGGGGTAAAAGAAGCCATTTTTGTCAACCTGGAAAACCCATCACTCAACAGAGGAGGTGGACTCAGACACAACCTATCACCCACATACAAAGCACTTTTAGGAACAACACTCAGAAGATTCACGTCAGTTTCACACAACAGAGAGGCAGGTGACTGGAACCGTTCTGATGAGGACCACAACGACCCATCAGATTCTTAACGACTGCTTCCACTTTCCCAGTTGACCCCAAGGCCCCACTCAACACGGTGGATCTTCAGGTCCATCGTGTTGAGTGGGGCCTTGGGGCCAGAGTATATACTGTATCTGCTGTACTCTCCACCACCAGTTAGAACTGAAGAAGCCTCTTGGATGAGAGGTGAAACGTCTTCTTTTAGAAAATTCACGTCCAGTTGCCTAACAGAATTTTCAATCTTGACCATGACCTGGATGACTGAGAATCTTCATAGACATGTATCTATTCCCATTTTCAGCCCGGATCTAATCTGGATGTTCTCTATTCTTCCCGCAGACTTACTACCGGGACATTTCCCTGGTACAATCAACGTGCCTTTTACGTCGTTTTTGGACGCCTCTGGAAAGGAGCTGGACAAGGAAACCCTGTCTAAATTGTTCAAAGATGCTGGTGTTGACCTTCAGCGCCCTCTGTGGGCCACGTGTACCACAGGTGTTACTGCATGTCATGTTGCCCTTGCTGCATACTTGCTCGGCTATCCTGGGGTGTGTATTTATGACGGCTCCTGGTCGGAGTGGTTTATGAGGGCAAGTCCTGAGCACATCATCTCAGAGAGAGAGAAAAGGAAGGGTTAACAAACTGTTACGAAGATCTAATGTGGATTTAACAATAGACAGGTATTTGCCAACTGCCTTTAGGAGAGACAGATCAGGAACTTTGTGCTAATTATAAAAACACAGCAGTAAGTCACCAGTAAGTTTTTGTAAGATCTTAAATATAGTTATTATGACGTGAATACATCTTGTAACTGCTCCTGCTAATATTAATAAATGAATTATTACAACTAAATCCTTTTTAAGATCTGTGATTTGTACGAACATGAATACTGTGTATACATATCGCAATAAATGGAACCCTAATGTCTTTTTTTAGCTGAATTCAATGTTTAATTCAAAGACTTGAAGCTAAGAATAAAGACAATGGTGAAAGTTGAACTTGATTTTGTCTTGATTTTTGGTTTATGGGATTTCGGTTATTTCGACTTAAGGAATTTAAAGGCAAATGCCACGACAAAGATGGCCGACGGTGGTGACGTAAGTTACTTAGCTGTCCACTGTGGTGCCTGGAGGTCCTACCGAAATAAACAAATTGGGGTCCTTTTGATGATCGGTTATCTGTTAAAGCCGTTAATGAGTCTATGGTTAGATTTGCTGTAATACCCAATTTATTTTTTCTCCTTTTTTGATTAATGTAGAATAAAATATAGCGTGAATCGTTTTGGTCAATTTCGCAACGACGGGTTCATTTGTATTGTATTCCCAACGACGGAGACTGTTTTTCTTCTCTCTTTTTTTTAACCGAGCATAGCGTTAGCGCTAGCGAAGCAAAATAAGCTAATTTTCATTACATTTTTCAGACGTTTAACGCTAAAACATAAAAGGCAAGTTAAGCAAATGGTAGTTAGTTGAACGTTGACTGCAATGTGTGTATATTTTTAGGAGTGGATACGTTGCGTGGAGCTTGTTGTACTGTTTAGGGAAAGCAAAACAAATTGTTTTTTCTCTCGTTGACTGATAATGAACAATTCTGTCGATGTCTTTTTACCATTCCTGATCACATCATATTGCCAAATGTCAAGAAAATACGTTTCTTTCCAAACGTTTTAACACAGGCAGGCGTTGATGAACCATAATGTCTGGCATTGCTCTTAGCAGACTGTCACAGGAGCGCAAAGCTTGGAGGAAAGATCACCCATTTGTAAGCATCAGATTATTCAGTGTCTTAATTCCTACAAATGTCATCTAAAAACGTGTGACGTTTTTTCTGGTTCTTACTAAACACACAGGGTTTTGTTGCTGTACCAACCAAAAACCCGGATGGGACCATGAATCTGATGAACTGGGAATGTGCCATTCCAGGGAAGAAAGGAGTAAGTTATCTATTAAATCATAAGAATACACATTTAAAAAAAAAATCTCTATATTCTTATTTGTCTTTTATTGGAAACTATTTTTTACCATATTTTAAATGAATGTTGATTTTCCAGAATGCTAGATATACTGCTTTGCTTATCTAAATAAATGTATAATAAATGATTTACAAACAAAAAATGGCTGCTTTCAACTTCTTCTGTACATTTGCCAAAACACATTTTTCTCCTGTGACATGTGATTACTATAGACTATTACATTATATTACAATTTTTTTTTTCTCTTTATTCTTTAGACCTTATGGGAGGGAGGGCTTTACAAACTCAGAATGCTCTTCAAAGATGATTACCCCTCCTCACCTCCTAAATGTCAGTATGAGGAAATTAGCTCAGCACACAATTATGATACAGTGTTCTTGGTCACTTGATGGCCATCATTGGCTTCTTGACTTCTTATCAATTTCCTCTCAGGCAAGTTCGAGCCACCAATATTCCACCCAAATGTCTACCCGTCAGGCACAGTGTGTCTGTCCATACTGGAGGAGGACAAGGACTGGAGACCAGCCATCACCATCAAACAGGTTTAAAACTGTCTTTATGTCATGGCTTTTTCATAGTTTGTAGAATTTTAATCCGTGTTCCTAAATTGATGTGGACAAATCACATCAAGCATCAGTGGATCTGAGTGGTTTCAGTTCCACCCTGACTGTGATTTAACAGCATGGGAATTGTTGATTTCAGATCCTGCTGGGCATCCAGGAGCTGCTGAATGAGCCGAACATTCAGGACCCTGCACAGGCCGAGGCTTACACAATTTACTGGTACGTTCACTGTGTGAACTCTGCTGATAGTTTCCACTAAATGACAGATTTTAGTTTTAATTTGTGAAATTAGAAAATGTTGCTGTAAATGCTGGTCATCAGTTATTTTATCTGTTTTCATCTGTTTTGACTGTGGAGAAAAATGGTATGAAGTATGAACATAAAGGTGTTTGTATAAAGATGTGAAAAATAAAAATTGTTTGCTGAAACTGCAGCATTTTCTGCCATAAACACATTAATACTGTGTTTTCTGCTTCAGAATAAATGGTGGATTTTTATTTGCTTTGTAAAAAAGTTTTGTTTTTTTTCTCCTTCATTATTGCAGCCAATGAAGCATCTTTCTCTGTTTTTTTTTGTGTCTCACAGTCAGAACAGGATGGACTATGAGAAACGAGTCAGAGCACAGGCCAAGAAGTTTGCTCCCACATAGATGAGAGAGCAGACTTGGACTGGACTGATCTGATCATTTAGAACCTAAAGGACCACTCCAACAAGAAGCCCCACCTGAGTATTATTCTACTGTTGAACAAACTACACGTTTTCTTCCCTTCCCTCTGTCTCAGTCACAATTATTCACCCGCCGCACCATTATATATTTTTGCATCTTCAGCCGATGAGTTCTTTAGAGGTCACTCCAACCCCTGGTTAATTCCACATCTCCGTCATTGTCATGAGCGGAACACTCTCTCGCCCTCATTAATCCTGTAGGAAACATAGAGTCAGCCGCAGCAGAGAAGTGTTTGTACATTTGTATTTTTATCGAGTCAGATGCTACATTAGCTGTAGATAACATTTCATGAACGTAAAGAATAAAAAGAGACAAAATAGTCAAAGGTTTGATGGGGGTCGGTCGATTCTTTGTGCCATCGGTGTCTTTTATTCATTCCTGCCGCATCAGAGAACACCGTGGACACGTGTGACAATCCTCTCATGCATGTCGGTTTCAAGCTAAAGTGCAGAATTAGTGTTGACAGGAAGTGGGACTTTGTCCACCTCAGAGAAGTTAGAGTGAGAGCAATGACTTCAGCGCTCTGCTTCCATTTCTGAACTTTTTATGACGGTGAAACTAAAGTGATGTAAGTGTTAAGATTCTGTGAATCAGACTCGGGGTAGAACTGTTTGTCAGCACCAGTTTATCATCAGCTTCTGAGCAGACTAGATCACAGTAGCAGATTGATCAACTACGACTCTGTGTATTTCGCTCTTTTCATAGACGTTTTATTCCACCATACTCGCAAAGATTGTGTAAATCTCTGTAAATCTACACGTGCAGACCAAGGCAGAAGAAAGTGCACTTGAGAGAAAGCAAAAGTCTGAGATGTTGTTGTTTTTGCCTCTAAATGTACGAGTGCATGTACATACTATAAATATTGGAGAATTGTGAAAGTTACGTTTTATATTGTTTTAGCCAGTTGACATTTTGTGTGTGTTATTGTAAGAGAGAACACAAAAATGGCATATGATTGTGACAATGTTGAATAAAAATAACTGTAAAAAATGTTTGGGTTGAAAGTTTTCTTGAGAAAAGGCCAAACGAGTTTACGCATTTTTCTGGAGCATGCACCGGTGTTTGTTTGTTTGTTTGTTTGTTTTCAATTATCATTTTGCAGAGTAAAAGCTCAAAGATGCTCAACAGTCAGAGATCCAGACCTTTTTTTAAAATCTAGACCGCAAACAAACAACAATGTTGTCCTGTATTTGTCCTTTAATGCACCGTGTCTTATAAACATGTCCTTTTTCTTTTTCTTATCTTTTTAAAACGAGACAGACTTTTAAGCAAAGACATTTTTGTGATTACTTTCTTAATTTTGTCAAAATTGATCTTCATTTATTATCTGTCTGAAAATGGTATTTTAGTTCTTTCTGAAAAATATTTTTATCCGTGGTTTTTATTCCTGTTTTGACCATTAACACATTTTTCTAATCCCAGTTTCAACCCTTTTGTTTGCACCTTTTCTTTTTCTTTTTCCAGCCAGCGGTGAAACCTGATGCAGTTCCCTCCTGTGTTCTGTAGAAATTTAACACCTTCGACACCGTGTGTTCCACCTCTCATCTCCTGTGGTTTATTATCTCAGTATGATCTCAGTGGGCCACACAGAGACAGAGCGGGTGAGAAAACCAGAAATAATTTTTACTCTTGACTTTATTTATACCTTTGTTTATACAATTTCCTCTGAACTACTGCTTTGGCCTAGGTACAAAGGCCCGTGGTGCCGCCGCTGTCACTGCCTCACTACACTGATCCTGGATCAGAGATCAGTTTAGGCCTCTGTCTCCGCACTAACATTTTTCCAGGTTTGTTTTTTTTTTCTTTCTAAATGTTTAGCTGCAGCTCAGACTACAGTTTTTTATGTTTTTTATGGTTCATATAATCAACCATGTGTAGGTGCAGCTTCAACAGGGAGGTCTCTCAGTCATGACTCTTTCATCAGACACCCACTGCCTGCCTGGCCCACAGACCCCCAGCTGTGGTACGGCTACAAAACCAATGAAATGAGTATGTGGTTATTTTTACCTTTCCAATCAAATATACTATTGTTTTTGTTCTTTAAATATATGTTGTCGTTGTTTCTGTAATATCTGACTACGGCTCATCTGCAGCCCAGTGGACGGAGAGGAACATCATGAACCAGAAGCTCAGCAAGGCGCTGATGAGAATGGAAAAACGAGACACTGCAAAATAAAGTCCTGCTTCCTATTGTGCGGCCGCAACTCACACAACACCTGTGAAAGTCACACTTCTGGTTAGTGCGGAGATGTGAAAAACAAGGTACGGTAACTGCCCAAAAACAAACAAGCTGGGGCACAGAAACTAAAACAAAAAACACAGAACAAACCAAACCAAAACAAAACAAGTGTCTTTTCTCTGCTGAGTGATCTCGGAGATCTGCGGTTCGTTTTAAAGTTAAATTAAGACTAATAAAAAAAAAGTTTCTACTTCCAACTAAAATTGAGGTTGTGGCTTGTTACTGTGTGTGTGTGTGTGCGTGCGCGCGTACATGTGATGCGTAAAAACCTGAAGAGAATGAAGGTGGTTTCAGCAGAAACCACTGAAACTCATTTTTTATCACGTCCTCTGATCAGGCCTTCATAAAGTTCGACTGTTTTTGTCACTACACGTTGAGGAGCTTGTCTGAAGTCGGGGGTAAACGTCCCAGCAGAACAGTTAAACCCTGACTGTAATCAAATCTACGAAACTGCCATCAGCCACTAAAGGAAATGAGAAGGAAACGACACTTTCTTTTGAGAATGTCTTTGGACTGGTTTATGGGCTGAGCTTCTTGTCTGCGGAGTTTCAGCTGCGCCTCTTTGTAGGTGGCTACGTTAGCAGGGTGAATATGTAGATCAGTTTTCCATCACTGACCTCAGATGTTGTTCTACAGTATGTGAGGCCTCAGAGAGGGCCGCTGACACGGCTGCTCGCACCAGAGCTCTGTTTCCTCTGCGTCTACGGTGGAGCTTCAGAAACTTCAGCAGACGTGGGCAACACGTCAAAACTCAGGGCTGAAACTGACGTTAAAGTCTCTGTACATGTGTTAACTCCACACAGAAAGATAACCATTTACTGCAGAGATGGAATTATTAGGCCTTTCCAGAAGAAACCAAGTCACTGAGACCTGGCACAGACACAAAAAAAAGGTAGCAGAAGTTTTTAAAGGGCGAAATGTTAAAATTCAGGTTGAAATGTATATAAAGAAAGGTTTAAAATGACTCAAAACAGAAATATGTTACATTTTCAACAGAAACAATACAATAGCAAACAGGAGTATCATAATGCTAACCAGCAAAGGCTAACAGATGGCTAAAAGTAAACAAGTTATTTGCTTAAAATATTGAGCCTGAAAATGATATATATATATTTTTTAAAAAGCTAGAAGCTAGTCCCAGAAATGGATCACAGCAAAAAAAAAAAAATATTTTAAAAAGCTAGAGGCTGGTCCCAGAAATGGATCACAGAAAAAAACAAATAAGGAGAATAATATGTTTGGCAAAACAAGAGTTGGAAACGTGAGTACTGTTAGCCAAGAGGTGGCTAAAAGCTAAAAGTACCAAAGCAATGCTACATTTACACGGTATACAAAGCTAATAGTTGTCAGAATAAAAGTAAAAAAGAAAGACATGTTGGGATTTTTCAGACAGTGGGTTTTTGTTTCTGAAATATTTCAGGAATAATTAGATTGGACTTGTTTAAGTGTGTTTTAGCGTTTTTCTTTGACAGAGACTCGTGTTGAAGCGGTGATCAGTCCCAGCTCCGTCTGTTGAACGTTATCGTACTCAGTTTTTTTTTTTTTCTGTGTTTGCGTCAGAAATCTGTCTCCGTTTAAAACTTCAGCACTTTTTTGTCTTTCTTCTTCTGGCTGCTCCGTTTCGGGGATCATCTGCCCCCGTCTCACCCTTTGGGGCCATTGTGCAACATTTTGGGTTTGTTTCAGCAGATTCTGACAGTGACTTCATTTACATGTCACTGATGCTCATTTACTGGTTGCCATCTGGGGGCAAATGTGGTGTCAAATGTGGTTTTTGTTACTTTTTCCACCTGAACAAAATTCCCCTGTTGCACAATTCGAATGTTTCTTTTTTTATTGTTCTCACCTCTGCACCGCTGACCCGCCCCTCCACCGTCTCCTGTGCGGTTGCGGTTTTGTTAATGGAGACTTGTTGTTCTTGATGTTTCTGAGCAAAAACATCTCCACGGTCTTGGCAGCTTCTCGCCTCAGAGGTGGTGGACTTTGACCTTTCGACAAGTGACACGACCGTGCTCTCTGTCCTCCCACATCCCTTCTGCATGCACGCTGACATCTTACTAACAGCAGGAACTAGTGGTGGTGGGTGAGTGTATGTTGGGGGAGGGGGGTGTGGTGTGGGGGGGGGGGGGGGTTGTTGACTGACTCCAGAGCAACTCTACTCTATCACAACTATACACAGGAACAAACAATATTTTGTGGTCTGTTGTAAAATGGTATCTTTGTATTGACCTTTAGACGTGACTCAATCACTTTGATGTGATGAGGCTTTAGTCAGATCTTCCTGATGTTATGGACGATCTGTCACCTGTTTGCGCCTCTGTCATGTACATATGACTTATGACGTTTTTAGCCTCGGAGTGTTTTCCGTCCGTCTTTCAGCCGTTTTATGAACAAATCGAATGAATAAATTAAAACAAATATATAATTTTGAATTGAATTCTCTCTTGGACGTCCAGGTGGACGTATGCTCCAGATGAACAGGTGTAGCAGCCTGACTGCCCTCTAGAGGGAGGCAGGACAGGTGGTCCCGCCCATGGTCTGTGAGCCTTATTTTTATTTTTCTAATTCTATACCCAGTACTGAACCTGCAGAGGTAAAACCCTGATGGGTTAGAATTTTTGTTCCGTTTCATGTTCGACACGTGGAAAAATCTAACTTAAATTTAATTTAATTTAATTTAAATTCTCATCAAAAATGAATGAAATGATGAGGTGACAGAGAAGAGAATATCACCTGCGACCACTTGCTGATATTTTTCCGTTATCTTGAACTGGAGCTTTTGTCAGGGTTTTTGATTTCATTACTCAGTAAACATCAGTGGACTCAGTGAGTCCTTGAGGAAAATACATGCAGGGGGCAGTGTGGTAGCACATCCCCACACACACACACACACATACACACTGTATTGCGGTGTAAACAATGGTGGGGTTTTTTTTCCTCCACGTTTTATTTGCATGTAGTTTTTCTAAATCTGGAAGCTTCCGAGTCTTTAATCAGTTAAATATTCAGCCAAAGCAGAGTTTCGTTGTCGTGAACCACTTCAGAGGACAACGTGCAGGTTTCTCTTCAGAAAAACCCACTTCAGGTTGTGATTGAAACAGGATGTGGCGGGGATAATTCTGTGGTGTTTTCTAAAATTCACTGCAATTATAACCATAAATGTCACAGCAGGCTCAGAGAAGGTGCTACTGTTGAACAGCCTGGCCTGTCCCCCCCCCCCCCCCCCCGCTCTCTCTCTCTCTCTCTCTCTCTCTGTCTCTCTCTGTCTCTCTATGACTTCCTGTAAGCCTCAGACACCAACTGTGGTTAGAAAATGTGAGGGGCACTTAAAAGAAGAGAGCAGAGTGACAATGGAGAGAGTGGTGTATAGGTGAGAGAGAGAGAGTTTAGATTGGACAGAGAGGGACAGTGTGCAAGCAAAAAAGTTAGGGTGAGGGAGACAACGGGGAGAGAGACGGACGGAGAAGATGAAAACGTTGTCCCTCCAGCGTCGTCCTCTGCTCTGACCGACTAATCCTGATGAGGTGACGTATCCGTTTTTACCTGACTTTAACCTGAAACATTAAAGTCGTTCAGATTGACACCACGGTGGTCACGTCGCCTCGAGTGGTGCATCTTGGCTGCTGTTGTTGTTGTTGTTGTTGTCGTTGTTGTTGTTGTTGTTGTTGTTGTTGTTGTTGTTGTGTGACGGTCTTGACAGCAGACGCGTTGTTTATAAAAAGAATTTAAATTTTTCAAATAATGATTTCAAATCAAATAAATAAAGTGCCATCACAGCGATTGTTGACTCAACCTGGGAGACCAGCTCTGACGCTCTGACACTCGCTCTTCCTCGGTGCGACTCCACCTTAGTTTCTACTCATTAAACTGAATTAAAGTGATTCGAATCATCACCTGGGCCTCCAGGAAGCTGCTGCTGCTGCAGAGACACACCGTGGAGAGTTTCGCTCATAACTGCTGCCGTCTCAGGATGACTAACTGCTTCACGGGTGTAGATCCCCTGTTCAGTCGACAGTTTCAGGTTCACAAACAATTTCTCAGCGTTAGCTATTTAACTGCGTAACGTCATCGTCGGATTTCAGACCCAAATGTCGTATGAAATAGGACTGTCAAATGATAACAATATTTATACGATTAATCACCGGGTAGCCGATTAATCACAATGGATTCTGACGAATGTTCATCGTAATGAACTACAATTATGGATGATTAAAACATAATAAATGTCTTAATTTGATATGTTTGAATTCTGTTGCTCTGATTGGTGCCAGATGGATCACCTGAAACTGAGACCTCCATAAATGAATGCTGGATGTGTGAGATGTTATTTGAAGCTCAAGGTGCTTCTGAGAAAGTCAAAAAAAAAAAAAAAAAATCTGCAGTGTCAGCAAATAACGGCATGTGTATCTGCTGTGTATTAGAGCGACAGGTGGAACGATAGTTGGGCTACAGTACACGTCAATCTGTTTGTGCATTAAAATGTGTCAAAAAAAAAGTCAAAAACACACGCGCTTAAATAAGGCTTCACTTCTCTGTGTTCACAGTCGTAGCGTGGTCACGGCCACAGAGATGCTGTGGCTCTCGTGCGTCCTTGCTGCTCTGCTTTCTACTGCAAACTCAAACTCCCACAAAGGTAGGAAACCAGAGTCTCTTCTTCATGTAAACATTTGTACAGAAATTACACGTCTGTAAGTTGGATGTCAATGCTTTAAACAAAGAGTTTGAAAATTCCTAATAAACTCCTGCTCCAGACCATACCTTCTCCAACGCAATATCATGGAATATCATTGAATATTCTGTAAGCCACACTCTCCTGATCAGCTGCAGGGACCTGTAGTGCAGTAGTTCTGTCGTTTTGCTGTTAGCAAACAAGCTGAAAATGTAGCGTGGTGTGGAATTTGGTTTTAATCCTGATTTTGTCGACTCTACGTGTCGGTCACGATGTAAGAACGTCTCAGAGAGCCAAAGCAAAGAGGCTAAGGTACCACATGTGGCCCGGGAGCCATGGGTTGCAGACACCAGAACTTGTACATGTCAATATGGATTTGCTGGACAAGATGTCGTCCATCAACTAGAGAGGAATTTAGGCCTGTGCAATCGCTCCCTCCGCTCTTCATGTCCCTCACTCTCCCGTCTCTTTGTTATGTCTCTGTGGCTGAAGGACTTTTTTGTGTGAACGACTTTGTCAACAACGTCAGCTGCACGTGGAACAGCAGCGCAGCAGCCGGCGGCCCTGGTGCGGACTGTTGGATCCACGTAAGTGTGGAAAACTGGATCAGGGAAAACGGCAAAAGACAACTCAAGATTATAATGTAAGATATTCCAAACCTCAACTGCACAAACTGGGAAAATGTGTTTTTAAGATTCTCAAGCTGCAGAATCTGCAGACGAAAGAAAGATAAGAAAGTTGTTGTTTATTATTTAGGGTAAGCTGCAAACTGCAACAACAAGGAGTTTCTCTGTCAGGCTGCAGTGTTGTCTTTGAAAATAGAGTAAGTAATAATTTGCCCTGTTTGTAACAAATACACAAATGAAAAGTCTGTTTCTTGAGCCTTGGTGTCAGGACAGTGACTTCTTGACTGACGAGAATAAAAAAGTGACGGTTTAACTGTTTCCTTTTAGACTTTCCACTACTTTGACCTCAGCAACATCAGCTTGGAGTGTGATGGAAAGTTTGTAGAAAATATTACGGATTATAAAGTTCAAGAGCACAGTGAGTCTCACTTAATCCTTTCTAAGATTCTTGCTTTAAAATATGAATCAATAATATGTGTGTGTGTGTGTGTGTG